GTTTTAAGTACAAAGTTTCTTTTATTAATCATTTAAATTGAAAGCTCCTGACGGGCGTATCATAATATTTGGTGGTTATCAATTACTTCGCGGTACGTATGGTGATCTGTGGATCTTAGATATTATAACGTATCAATGGTCGGTTGGAAAAATTTTAAACCCAATTGCAAATTTAAGTCTTAGTGGACATACTGCAACATTAGTAGATAATTATATGTTTGTTGCTTTTGGTAAAATTCTAATTATTTTATCCAAAATACTGTTCTTGATTGATTGTCGGTACTGTTCCTGATGGGATTGAAAAAGTCAGATTGAGTACCGTTCCTGATAGAGTTTTTAAATAATTACGTTACTATTGAAGTAGTGAAGCTTTAGCGTAAAATTTGGCAGCCCTATTGTTACTTGCCCAATCGTTTGTAAGGTCAATATGTAACATACAGAATTCAAATTGGAAATAACTCATTAGTTTCAGCACAAATACCCTTACTGTATGCTTGTTTAATGTTGAGATCAATATTATGGATCAAACACGGGTCATGACTTTAGCATTTACATTACGACCAACGATTGTTATGAAAAGAATCCTATCGCTATTTGGAAAGGTATGGAAATCGTCTATTTCTGAAGCAACATCTGAGCCTAAGATCTAGATTAATTAAGGCCTATCCCGGGGCAACGCCTGGACCTAAGACCTAGTTAATTCATATTTCTGGTAAAATTGTATTTACAAAACTTTACATTAAATAGTGTATTATCACATGAAAATTTCACCAACATACAAAATTTTTATATATCATCATGTTCGGAACTTTAATTTTACATATTTTTTTTATGACAGCTTAATATGGTTTTTCTGTCATCTTAAACACTACGTATGGTAAGCTAATTTGATGCTGATTAATAACTTTTATTTTAACACAAGAAAAATCAATATTCTATAATTTTCGAACACAATTTATTCTCCTACGGCATCAAGATGCCATCGGAGAATAAACTGAGTTTAAATGTACTAACTTTTTAATGAATCGTATCATTTTTGCACATGATCAACTGATTCGAGCCCGGCAAACCCGGCCCATTGTAAATCCTAATTTTTTTTAGGTTAAATAAACGTGAATTTATGACCATAAAATCAATTTTAAGTATTTCATGAATCAAGAATGTAATTTCCTTTTTATTTTATTTATTTTTTTGAGTTGTATTCTCACCAACCCAGTAGCACAACATAATAAAAAATGATTAGAAGAAATTTTGATAAAGAGGACGAAAAAGAATAAAACCCACCAAAAATAAAGATATATACATATTTACAAAAAAAGTGAATATGAAAACTGTTAATTGTAAAAAAAAATAATAGTCGTAGGAATGAACAAAATACACAATCATGAACAGGAACGGTTAATTCTGAAGTGCCGATGAATTACTCATAATCCAAATCTGCACATATTTCATCAAGAGTTTGATTTTGTCTTTATAGTTCGTTCATCCTATTAGGAATTAAATTAAATTATATAAATCAATTAAATAGATATTAGCAAAATAAAATTTACCTTTTCTCCTTTTTCAATTCTGCATTCAAATAGTCGCAACATTGACTCAGAAGATTGATTTCATCGACAAGAAAAGACTCTCCTTGACTGATTCTTAATATGCGAGACAGCTTTACATAAAAAATAGACAATAATTGTTTGTGAATTCTCTTAACTACTTTCATTGCTAAATAAAAATAATAGAAATTGTGATCACCTTTCTGAAGTATTTTGATTTACTCATCTTGCGACTTGTGATCGGGAGCAGTCCTCAAAACCATCTTTGATTTCTGCACGTCGATTTTGCTCTGATTGAATGTGCATTTGACGCTTAAACTCGGCGCTGGATCAACTTTGAATCAAATTTGAGATATTTTTCAGAGATGTTGAATTTTGTTCTGGCATATTACATGTACTGTACCTGCTTGTGTCGTTATCAACGCCATCTAGGGATGACTCATCACGTGATGCCTTTCTCCGCCAGCCACGTCCCATTTTTTCATATTTAGCTTTGCTGTATTGAAAAAATTACAAGATTATATTAATAAACGCACCTGGCTTTAATCATTGAACGTAGTGATGTGGTCGCAATTTAAATTTTTGTTTTAAATAAAATCGATTTGTTTGAATCACAAATTATAAAAGTATAAATTTATTTTCTATCAATTGAATTAATAAGTGCGAAGGTATAAATGTAATGGAACTTGCGATGATGTATTAGCATATGATGCAGATAATATTTGTAAATTTTCATGTGGAAATAATTGTGTATTCGATTGTTCTAAATGTAGAAGAAATGGTTCCCAGCCTCAAGATTGGTATTGCACTGGTTGTAAATAATTTTTCTTCGAGAAAATATATTAATACGTTTTACAAATCATATATTATTCTGTAAATGAGTATTCTATCATATAAAATTTTATATTTATGAATACTTGTGATTTAGATTGGATTATTAACTACATCTTGAGTTTTTCTGCAATAGGCATTTCCTTTACTTTTATTGGTCATTCACTTATAAAGATATGTATATATATGATGAAGCATTATACCTTTATATTATGTTTATCTTTATTTGATTTTTATTGTTATAAAAATTTCAATTTATATCAAAATAACTTTGTATTTAATTGGAATTACGTATAACTATTACGGAGCTAAATATCGGTTTAATTTCGAACTTAGTGCGAAGATCACTAATCAATGTTTTTTATAGTGACTTCGAAATCACCACGTATTTTATATTAAATTATTATATCGCATTTTTTTTATTTCTTTTGAAGTAATTTGTATTTCAAATTCTATAAACTGTATACACTTTATGAAACATATGTTCAAAAAGTAACAACGTTAAATTTTACATATACTTGTATAAAAATTTAAAAAAGTTATTTACATCTTTTATTATTTCAACTTGAATAATCGATATATCCCCGAATTGTTTCTTTCTGTAAAGCTGATGCATTAAAGATTATCTATGTACGCTTATTTCCCTCCATTGTTGGCAAGTTCAAACTTGCAAAAATTCAAAAAGTTAATTAAAGAAATTTCACCAAGAATTTTCACTTTTGGTTAGAAAAGTCATAATTAAAATTATGATTTCCAGAAGTTTCACAAATAAAGTATCACGCTCTACATCATATGGGCGGATTTAACGCAAGTCACACATGTGTGAAAAGCGAAGAAAAACAAACGTGGATTTAAATTTGTCTTGGGGCACTAATTAAAAATGGCGGGAATGAAATTTTACTTATAAGGAGTAGATTATTTGGGCTACCGTCAACCAATAGAAATCAAGCAGATCTACATTTGAAAAAAAATCAATACCTTCCCTTTCATAGCTCATATCTCGATGAATTTTAAAGCTGTCTTGATGGTTTAATATTCAAAAGAAAGTTACGGTCTAAGCTTCCTTATGAAAATTAAATCATCAAGACAGCTTTAAAATTAATCGAGATATGGGCTAAGAAAGGGAAGATATTGATTTTTTTCAAATGTAGATCTGCTTGATTTCTATTGACGGCAGCCCATTTATTCTATACGTAGCATCTAATTTTAGTTTCACGAACTTAGTTTATTTTTACGCTGAATTTCCTTTTTTGTTGCAAATTACGTAGCACATTACCACTACGTGTAAACTTAAATTTCTATTTTGAATTATTCATTCAACATTAATTTATATCACTGACTATTTTTTGCTACGTATTATTCAGCCATTTTTCTTTCAGTTTATAAAAATTTTTTCATATAATTGTTAATATGGTGAAGTTATTGATTTTTAACGTTATTTTTTTCATATTTTTTATATTGATTTCACATGGAGGTGACTGGTATGAATCTTGTACTAGTAAGTAAATAAAAAAAAAAAAGTGGAATAAGTTAGTAAAAATGCACCAGATTTTTTTCTGATAAAATTGAGCAAAATAATTCAACAATAACAGTCGAATTTAATAAAAAATTTTAAATCAATTAAAAAAATTTTGTGCATTTCTATTGTCCTCTCCCTATGTGTTTAATTTTAAACTTATAATAAATTAAATTATTTCAGTTTGCGTGACCAATTCCACCGCAATTTGTAAGTTTCAATTTATTTAATTAGCTCACTTTTTTAGAATATATTTTGACATATGATGATTTAGGTACTTTTAGAGGGGAAGATAAACAGCTTTATCGTTCCTGTGACTTACGTGATTGCAAATGTCAATATCAAAATACCTCAAATTTGTCTCCAGACTGTCGAATTCTTTATCCTTGCCTTTGTGCATGTGGAGCTTTTGTGACACCTTCGGTAAAAATATAAAAATTACCTGAATTTTATTTGAAATTTTGTAAGTTACACGAATCTGAGTTTAAACTAAATTCAGATCTAGCGCTAGGAAATAATCACGAACCAAGCATCGCCCAAAAATCAGTTACGTTTCAAACTCAATTAAACTCAATTTTGAACCTCCCTAGCATGACCACCAAAATCAGTTACGTAATCGCTGTTTAAAATCCGAGATCTTGTAATCCAGCACATTTTTATCATATTATATTATATCGATATATAACAATAAAAACTTTTATTAAGATATTATAATGATTTAAAAT